GCATTAGTGAGGTAATTCGACTGTCGACCTTGAAATTTGACATGAATAAATGGCTAATTGCTATTGCTATTTGTTTTTGGCCTCAATCATGTAATTCCATGTTGGGTTTTGAATAATTCAAATCTCTCAGTCAGCCCTGCATGCCTAGATTTGAAGGAATGGCGGTGAGATAAAAAGGCATGCTGTTTCAAATATGCATGACATGCTTCAGCATTTGCATTGTGTTCTATAAAAACAGAAAATGCATAAAATAAACTGACAAATTGAAGAAAAAAGAAAGAAAGAAAGAAAAAAAGGTCCAATGGTTATGGACCATACAACAGGGGTAGCCCTCCCTTACAAATTGAATATTGATCACAGGCGAACTCATCTCAAGAAAATATTTTGAAGATGTTATATCTCCATAATTGAGATGCCTGATAATTCAACTCATAAAGGCTACCCCATCCTTCTTAGAAAAAAGAAGAGAAACGGAAAAAAGAAAAAAAGAATGCAATGAACATAACAGATGATCTGGGCCATATGACACATACATTTGTCATATTTAACAACCCCCTCCCCCCACCGAAGGTAGAAAAAAAAAAAAAACCCACTCTTTTGTATCGAGGGGAATGAATTTCTAGATAAAAACAGAAGGAAGACATTGTCTACCAATTGTCATGGATAATGACTTAAGAAGCACGGACACTTCTATAAAGGAAGTGTGTTGTTGCGTCAAACACTGACATTCTTCAGACACTTTTAAAAGCGTGCCTAACATTTCTTCTTCGTGTCTTCATTAAAAAAATCACAATTCATAATATCAAACACCATGCGGACACTTTGTCGACACTTCTTAAGCCCTCCAAATATGTCCTATGCAATGAGTCCTTCATTATAACAATGTTCTGCAGATTTCATAACACAACTTACGAACTCTAAATATGTTACGCAACATTTATTAGATGAATACATAGAACCGAACCGAACCGAACCGAACCAAACCAAATCTTAAGTTCCATCAAATGGTGTTGGTTACATGAATCTTTTTTCCCCATTCGATTCCATTAGAGGCAATTTGGTTAGTCAAATTAAGAAGATTCATATCTCTATTTACTACACTAGCCCACGTCAATCTAGGTCTACCCCTTCCACTAACACTTCCATCTACCATTACTGTATCGCATCTCTTCACTACTGCCTTTGTTAGTCTCCATTGTATATGACCGAACCATCTCAATCTATTCTCTCTCAACTTAATTTCGATTGGTACTACTTCTACCTATTCACGAATAGACTCATTTCTAACTTTGTTTTTTCTAGTCTTGCCACATATCCACCTTAGCAACCTCATCTCAGCAACACTCATCTTATCTATATGTTGTTTCTTAGTTGCCCAACATTCCGTCCCATACAACATCGCTGGTCCAATAACCGTTCTATAGAACTTTCTTTTTAGTCTATCGGATACTCGTTTATCGCACAGTACCCCAAATGCACTCCCCATTTAAGCCACCCCACCTTAATTCTATATCTCCCCAACTGTTGTAATAATCGATTCTAGATAACGAAAATATTCACTCTTAAGTAGTTCTTGATTCTCAATGTTCACTTCTCTTTTTCCATTGTTACTATTACTAAAATTACACTCCATGTACTCTGTCTTAGTTTTACTTATCCTAAATCCTTTAGATTCAAATGCTTCTCTCCAAGTCTCCAACTTAGTGCCAACTCCTTCTCTAGTCTCATCCACTACACAATATCATCTGCAAAAGGCATATACCATGGCACATCATCCTAGATATTTCTCGTCAACTCATCCATAACAAAAGCAAAAAGATAAAGACTTAAGGTTGATCCTTGATGTAACCGTATAGTAATTGAAAATTCACTCGTTTCTCCAGTCGACGATCTAATAATGGTTACCACACCTTCAAACATATCCCTAATTACATCAATGTAGCCTTTTGTCACCGTTTTCTTCTCTAATACCCACCAGATTATATTCTGAGGCACTCTATCATATGCTTTCTCAATATCAATAAAAATCATATAAATGTTTCTTTTCTTCTCTCTACTTTTCTATTACTCTCCTCAAAAAATAGATCGCTTCCATTGTTGACCTACTATGCATAAATCCAAATTGGTTCTCTAGCACCTCTATTATATCTCGCAATCGACATTCCATCACTCTCTCCCACACTTTCATTATATGACACATCAGCTTTATTCCTCTATAGTTGTTGCAATTCTGGACATCTCCTTATACATCATGTTTGTTATAAAGTTTTATAATTGTTTTACATTTTTTAAAATGTGATTGTGAGTAAATAATATTTTAATGTTTAAGTTATGAAATATATAATTTTTAATATAATTAGCGCTATGTTACATACTTTTCATTATCTTTTAATAAATTATTCATATATATAATATGACATATAATAAATTTATAAAAATATAAAATTTTAACATGTTCCAAGCATATCGTGTCCTACATTTTTTGAAAATCATGTTGCCGTGTCTGTGTTTTTGCAACTTATGACATTTAATACAAGGAAGAAAAAAAATTAGAAAGAGTGCACAACCTATATGGTGGCTCACAAGTAGGACTTGTTTCTTGACAATTCATAAACATTATTTTGAAAGTGAAAGAGTTTCCTCCATACTTCTAGGATTCTGTTAGAAACACACTGACCTAAGAAGAACATTGAAAGGCTTGCTTCCTTTCCACATGGAGCTTTCTATGTGTTACAACTCTCGCCTAGATCCCCTCCCATCAAAAATTCTATCTTCTATAAGGTTTCACTTGCCAAATTCAAGTCTTCATCATAGAAAACCATGTATATATACACACATCATAGTTTTTAAAGGCAAATGCTTAACACAAGGCATAAGCATTTCGAATTTCGGATAGTGTTATACTATCTATCTGGAACATGTTTCCAGTTCAAATCTAGTTATTTCTTGTCTTCCTATTTTCAAAATTTTAGGCTTCATTTGGAACCACATATCTCATGGACATTGGCCCTTGCATGCTAGAAAATGCAGAAATCAGCCATAAAACCTGACTATAGCCTTGTTTCTAGTCAACTTTAGGGTTCACATTTTATCGTTGTCACTGGGGCTTCCAACTAATTACATCACGAACTTGGATAGCACACCAGTAGAGATGGCAATTTGAAACCGGCCCAATGGGGACCCGACCCCCGATCCCGAATTGTGCGGGTTTTTCCCGAAAAATACTCCCGACGGGACGGGGATGGTATTTAAAAATCAATCCCCGAACAGATTCGAGCCGGGGACGGGGATAAGTATCCCAACCCCATACCCGGCCCGGCCCCGTTCCCCGGCCCGGTTTTTCCCCGAATTAAAATTACTAATTTACCCCTAGATATATATATAGACACACATAGTAACCAAACCAAATCCTCATCCAGTTGTCTTCCGTCTCTCTCTCTCTACCCCCTCTACTCTCTCTCTCTCTAGCCTTGTTCACGACGTCGATCATCGCCACTGTCGGCGTCGCGGCTTCGCGATCGGCCTCCTCCGTCGTTCACAGCCACAGATCGGCCTCCTCTGTCGTTCATCGCCACTGTCGGCATCACGATCGGCCTCCTCCGTCGTTCACAGCGTCGTTCACAGCCACAGATCTGCCTCCTCCGCCGATCGGCCTCCTCCGTCGCTCATCGCCACTGTCGGCGTCGCGATCGGCCTCCTCTCTCTCTCTCTCTCTTACACAGATACACAGATCTGTATGTTACATATACCGATCTATTTTTTTTGATGTTGATTCTATATGTTACATATACAGATCAGTATGTATCTCTGTGACTGGCTGGAACATTATATATATATATATATATTTGTTGTTGAAGAAAAAAAAGATAGTGAAACAGATCATGAACCATGAATCCTCGGTTGCCCTCTCTCTCTCTCTCTATATATATATATATATATATTTGTTGTTGAAGAAAAAAAAGATAGTGAAACAGATCATGAACCATGAATCCTCGGTTGCCCTCTCTCTCTCTCTCTATATATATATATATATATATTTGTTGTTGAAGAACATTTTTTTTTTTTTTTGAGTTATATATATTTGCTGTTGTTGTTGATGATTGTTGTGTGTTGAAGAACAGATCATGAACCATGAAGCCTTCATTTTACAGAATTTATTTATTTATTTTTGGTTGTGTGTTGAATATATATATATATTTTATATTTAGTTAAAGATTTTATATGTTTTATTATCTTATATATATATATATATATTTCACTTATATATTAGGTATACATCGTGAAGGCCAGAGAGAAGCAAAGGAGACGAAGGCAAAGACAAAGATGAAGGCAGAGGAGATGATCTGCGAGAGAGAGAGAGAGAGAGAGGAGACGATCTGCGAGAGAGAGAGAGAAAGACGATCTGCCAGAGAGAGAGGGAAAGACGATCTGCGACAGAGACAAAAAACAGAGAGAGAGAGAGAGAGACGAACTGCGATAGAGACAAAACAGAGAGAGAGAGAGAGAGACGACCTTCGAAGTGATGAAAGAAGAAGAAAAACGAAGCAAACGACATACCAGACACAACCTTCAGGTTCTTCACTTTCTTTCTCCTCTCTCTCTTTGTTGACCAACAAGCTAGGGTTTTTGTTCTTCTTCACCAACGCTCCCATCTTGGTTAGGATCACGTTTCTCTCTCTACGGAAACGCGATTCCTACACGTTTCTTTCTAAGAAACGCAGAATTGCGTTTCTTACGAAGATTCGTCACCTGTTAGGACGATTCCTGCAACTAAGCGTTGGACACGACATGTTACCTTCTTAGAATTGACTGTACATCTTAGGCTACACCTTTAGTTATAAACAATATTATAGAGAGAGCCTACAAAAAGTTTCAAATTTATAGTTCATCCTAGTTGAAGGTGTAATTTCAAGTTTTTTCTATATTATGATGTATTCAAAGTAACTGTATGCATGGCAAGTAGTAAACAGCCAAACAATTTCCTGCAAAAGATTCCGTACCTTCGGTGTGGTTTGGCCAGAGGAGATATCTCAATTGGGTAGTCCAAGACAAATGTAGGCTGCAGCAACTTTGGTTCTACCTCAATCTCAAAAACCTGGATAAATGATGCAAAATTAAAATTTTAGTAAGACCATATGGAAGAGATGTACAAGAATAAAAAGAAAGAAAAAGCATATCGAAAACACTTAAACGGAAGCAAATGGTGTTTAATATTATGGAGCCAGTAGCCCCATCTACGATACTAACCAAGCACACTTCAAAATTAAAACTGAATCTGGAAAAAAATAAATGCAGATTAACCTCATTAAGCACGTGGCCAACAGATGGGCATGATTCAATAGAACATTTGTCTTTATTTTCAAGGCCAGCACCAAGTGTCTTAATAGTAATTTCTTTAGCAGCTCTAAGATCATTGCCCAACTCAATGAAATCAATCCCAGTGACTTCTTTGACAAGATTGTGCATGGTGTCCCTCCTCCAAGGTCGTTCTAAACATATTTCTACTCCCTGCATGGAGCATTAGAGATTGAACAGATTTCTTACGTTTCTTGGAAAATGCTAAGTTTAAGACAATCAAAATCTTCAAAACCATTCTATAAAATAACTAGAAGAGAATATATGACATTTTAACACAATTTAAGCGCATGTCCAACTAACACAAATTTTCCTACAGCCATCCAGTGCCCAAATGTCGATGCTTAGAGACAATTCAACTCAAGTCACTTTGCAAAAGCAATTTTGAAATGAGAGAGGTAATGCCTAGTAAAACTTCCAGTAACTCAATTAAGGTAAGAAACAGCACTTAAATCTACTCCTTTGTGGCTGGATAATATTGCCACAAATCAATGAAGCAACTTAGCATACTCATTTACCCAAAAAATACATAAACTTGCCCAAAGAAACTCAACATACACAATGCTACATGTTAGGATCAAGCGCTTGCCATCTCACCAAAACCCATAGGTAGTGGTGAAGGCGCAACTTTATTTCTTTAAAGGATACAGCGCCAAGTACCACAAGTCGACTGTGACTCGACCTTAGCCCGGACCTCCGCCACAGCAGGATGTTGGCCCCAACCTAGGCCAACCCCCCCTCCCCCCAAAGCACCTGCCCGCCAAGCAGCATGCCCTCCAAGGGAATCAAACTTGAGACCTCGCTCTGATACCAATTGTATGATCAAGCGCTTGTCATCTCACCAAAACTCATAGGTAATGGTGAAGGCGCAACTTTATTTCTTTAAAAGGTACAGAGCCACAAGTTGACTGTGACTCGGTGTTAAAATCCACCTACTCTCCACCTACTTCACCCACTTAAACCTACTCCACTAAACCTAACCCACTACACCACTACCACCTCACCTACTCCACTAAACCTAACCCACTACACCACTACCACCTCTACTTCACCTACTCCTTACCTACTACACACTCACCCTCTTCCATATATAGGAATCATGAATCATTGTAATAAATATCAACATATCAATCAATAATACATAAATTTTTACACTCGGTGTCACCCAAGACCTCTACCACGACAGGATGTTGGCCCAAACCCAGGCCAACACTACAGAATCTTAAGCCAATTAAATTGACCTCCTCCCTCCTATCAGAAAATCAAAAAGATAAACAAACATTTTTACCTGATAATCAATGGTAAGCTTCCCATGGACTGCAAGAGAACATTGAATCACAATTTCTTCTGCCATGTTCATCATGCTTTGGTAGTCTGAATATGCTTCGTACATCTAAGTTCAAGCTAAGAAAACTACTAATCAATGCTCATTTTAGTCAACATTTATAACTATAGTTGCAGCCAACAAGAAGGATCATGCAAATAAACATTAACTCAACATGTTTACCAAAAAAAAAAAGCAAAATATGGAGATATTACCTCTATAGTGGTAAATTCCGGATTATGACGAGTTGAAATGCCTTCATTTCTGAAGATCCGGCCCATCTCATATACTTTTTCAAATCCCCCCACCTGTCATTTGCAATTTGTGCTACTTAAGACATGAATTTTGCATGGAAAATATGCAAGTCTGACACAACCAAAAAACAGTATTTTATTTTATTATTAATTACAAAAAAAACTTTTACACTTCATTTAGATTGATGGTTTAGGAGAGAAAGTGAAGAATTTAGTTAAAATCTTGTTTGGAGGGGTTATGAACATTTTAAGCACTTCACTTCCCCTCCAAAATTGGGAGGAAATGGTAGGAAAGTATTTCTCATAATAATTATATTAAAATATCTAGTTAAGTATATTTATCATTAATTTAAATATTATCTAACCAAACAAAAGGAAGGAGACTTCTTCCCTATTTTCTTCTCCTTCCTTTGCTTCCTCTCACTTTCTCTCCCATCAATCCAAATAGTGTGTTAATCTTTTACTAGATGCTTATAGTACCAACAGTGATATCAATTATATATCCGAAGCTGTTTAGCAGGTTAGAAGAAAGGAGGAAAAAAAAGAGTCCATAAAATGAGTAGGCAAATCGACAAAGCAGGGTGGATGAATTGCAAGCAGAAACAATGCGACTAGTAAAACAAGCTTTTATGGGGACTCTAAATAGGAAATCAACAAGGATAAAGATATTAAGTACATAGGTCATATTCCTATAAGACTAGAAAAATACCAGTAAGAAACAAATGTTTTAACATACAAGCACTCTTGTATTTTTTTTATTTTTAGTTTTATTTTAGACAATTGAGATGCAAAGCTCCCAAAAAAAAGTAAATTGAGTAGAAGGATAAGGAGGAAAGGGGACTTTACTGAAGTGAGTGGGAAAGGAATGAGAATAAAGCAAGAGAATCCTTTCAAAAGAGGCAAAACAAGACACAAAAATAATAAAATAAAGAGTAAGCACTGGATGTGCATGCATGAGAGAGAGGGACTTAAGAAAAAAAAAAAGAATCCGCCTAAATGACCTCAACTGTGCAGTCATGAATAAAGGTGAGGCAGAAACCTCCCCACAAAAAAACACAAAATAAGCCATACTTAGCACAAAAATACAATTAAATTTATAAAATAATTTTAAGAACATAAACATGTATTTTGTACATGTCTACATACACAGAGAGAGAGAGATTATGAAAAAAAAAAGGTCTAATATATAGCAAACCACTTCAACAGAGAAGAACCCCCTTGACTAGAAAATAAAATAAATAAAGGACTAGAAGACAAGTAGAAAAGGAGCTACAGCCTAGATAAAGCAAAGTGATGGAAATTTTTTGACAAATGAATAAATAGTTGAGATAAAAATTTGCTGAGTTTAATAGTCAGAAAAAGATCTTCTCCAGACCAAGAGAAAGTGATCATTCTATTTGACTTTGTTTCAAGGTGTATGTCTAATATTGAGGACAAACTGCTGCAGTTTGCTAGATGAATAGGCTAGACATGCTACTATGCTTTATGGGATCTTGGATATTCTTATGTCCAGAGATCAGCTAATTAAAAGGAAAATTTAAATACTTCGTAAAAAATTCTAGCTATACATATTACATAGGAGACAAAATTGTTTCAAAATAACTAAGTTGCATTGCTTGCCAAACCAACCATTCAATATTGAACTGCTGAGAATACTTCAATGGAATTTATTGATATTCAGTATACGAAAAAGCAAAAGTAAAATACGTGAAACCTCACCAGCATTCTCTTTAAATGGAGCTCAGTTGCAATTCTCAAATAAAGATCTCTCCCAAGAGAATTATGGTATGTAACAAATGGCCTAGCCTCAGCTCCACCAGCTGCTCCCTAGTAGATCCAACAAATTAAAAACCAAATAACAGATACAAAAAAATCCTTCTGCTTTAATATATTGATATTTCATACACATGCATGCATAGATGAGGGGAGATAATGGAAGAGATGCATTAAAGCAATTAAGATAACATTTCAGGAAATACATAAAATTATTTGCATCACAAAAGAAAAAAGGATCAAGTAATATTTCTGCACAGCCTTGAAAAATGGATCACGTAATATTTCTACACAGCCTGATCAAGAAACAGAGACATTTAACGAGCAAACAAAAACCTTACTCTCAATTCGGTAAATCGTAAGTTTACTCATTCAATTGCTTTTACATCTCAAGTTATTAGTTCCCATGTTTGCTACTAGTACTACACAAAGAAAAGAGAACTATTTCATGGATACTTACAAAAAAAGACAGCACAATGTCACGGCCTTGGTTATTTCCAAGCACTCCATGCAGCACTTAGTCACTCACAAACTTTGCTAGTGATACTAAGTCATCCTAACTCTTAAGCTCACAAGAAAGAAAGCTAGTTTACACAAGAGTTTAAGAGAATGCACTCGTATTGCTCTTAGAGAGAATTTAAACTCTTGGTTGGATGTGAAGTGGATTGCAAGGCAAATGAGTCTTCACCCCTTTTATAGGTAACCTAGCCTTCTAGGAACTATCTAGAATGTACAATTAATATGATGTGTGGAATCTTCTCGGAGCCTTCCACAACCTTACAAGAATTATCTAGAACCTATTTCAAATCTTTCCGTACACATTCTAGAATTATGTACAAGTATCCCCCGTCCTCTCAAGTCTTCCAGGAGGTTAAGGAATCTTCCATTAGCCTCTATACCTCTAGCCTTCTTCTAGTGGGGACTTTGTTTAGGCAACTTGGTGGGATGTGACAAGAAGCTTAGTTAATTTAAAAGGTCAATTTAAAAGCACTTTTCAGAAAGACCATGTTCAGCATTTAAATGTATTTAGGGACTCAAACCACACATTTTTAGCGAGACACAAACATATAAGATGAAACAAAAGAATAATTTATCAAAATTAAAATTTGCAATGTCATAACCCCAATACAAGAGTTATTCACAAACCTGTAAAACTGGTGTTTCAATTTCGACAAAGCCTAATGATTCCACCGTCTTCCGTATCTCTGATACAATCTACTAACAAGAACATAAATTAGCAAACTAATCTTTTAAGCATAAGAAAGAATTTTCAGTGTAGGAAAGGAAGGGAAAAACATTATGTAGACTAACAGACATGGACGACTGAGCACTCCAGAACAAGGTCAAAAAGTCCCAATCAAATTTTGAGAATATCAATTTTTCTTTTTTTAGTTCAAGTTTTAATTTTGGGAATACCAATTCCTCTTTCTTTTAGTTCACTTTTAACCCATACTACACATCCATATAAGCATTTTCATCTTAGCTACTCTCATTTTATGAACTTGATGTTTCTTAGTTGCCCAACGTTCTATCTCGTAAAGTATCGTTAGCCTTATAGTTGCTCTAAAAAAATTTCCTTTCAATTTGTTAGCATTAATCAATCACGTGTAATATTTTAAGACACACTCCTCCACTTGAGCCAACCTACTTTGATTCTATAGATTATGTGATCTTCAACTTCACTCATATTAATAATCAAACCTAGGTAATAAAAAATGTTCACTATTTGTTATCTCCTAGTTTTCGATGTTCACTTCTGGTTTTCGATGTTCACTTCATTATTTCTACTTCTACTATCACCAAAATTATATTACATATTACAGTTTTATTTCTATTAATTTTAAACCCTTTGGACTCTAGTGTTTCTCTCGATAACATACAATATGGCAATGTTCTAAAACCCAGACCATTGATCAAATCGAAAAAGGGACCAAATCAAGGGTCACTCACTAGTTCAACCATCATGTCAGGCAAAATCAAACTCTAATATAAATATATTAAAATTATACAAATAAAAAACATAAGTATTTCTTCTTCTGTTTTGATAAATAAATAAAAAACATAAGTATTAAGATACATTCATTTAAATTATTTTTATAGTTTAAAATACATATATTATTTATATTGATTATTTAGGGGGAAAATTTTAATCATGCTTTGTGTTTGAAAAAAAAATGCAGTGAATGCAATAAATGTAATCACTTTGTTTTGTTTAGTTTTTGAAAATTGTTTTCGAGTTTTTTGGTTTTTCAAATTTTTTTTGTCTTTAATATTAAAAAAATTATATTGTAGTCAAATTTTTTTTTTAAAACTTTTTAGATGCACCTAATCAAGATGAACTTAAAAAATAAAATATTTGTAAAGAAATCTAATAAAAGTGATCCAAATGCGCCTAATCATATGTTTAGTGAATTTTTTTGAAATTTTTTCACAAATATTTTACTTTTTAAGTGCACTAAGATTAAATACATCGAAAATGTAAAAATAAGATTACTAAAATATGATACACAAATTCATTAAAGACAAAAATAAATAAATAAATAAATAAATAAAAATAGAAATATTACTAAAATATGATACACAAGTTCATTAAAGACAAAAATAAATAAATAAATAAATAAATAAATAAATAAAAATAAAAATAGAAAAAAATAATAATAATAATTTGAAACCCAAACATGATGAATAAGTTTACTATTTTTTAACAAAGTGGCTGACTTGCTAATGCATCATATTTGGGCATTCAAGACATGTTTGGAACAAATTTTTACAAAAGCAACATGTGGCTCATCTTGAGCAGTTTCTTGAATCACCTACCAGTTTGAACGGTTAATCAGTTCAACCGCAATTCTCACTAGTTTAATAGAAAAACGGTAAAAGAGGATCAGAGCATATTCTCATTCGTTACAGCTTGCTTCTCCACTCGCCATACCATGTTATCAGGATCAAAGGGAATTTCTTAGCCCTATTTACCAATTTTCCGTTCAAAACGAGTTCGGTGGTTCATCCAAACCAAAACTAGACGGATCAACCAGTTGAGAAAACCAGTTCGGTCTGGTTTTTCAAACATTGTAGCATGGGATATCACCCTAATGTAATACTACAATGATTGAAAATTCACTAGTTTCTCCTACAGGTGATCTAATTGTAGTCACAAACCCTACCATACATGTCTTCCATCGCATCAATACCTTTTGATCACACCATTTTTCTCCAACACGAGTGTTTTTCTGCTTGAGATGTACGAGATGAAAGTCTCATATACGGTTCTCAGAGGGGGGTCTTCAAAAGAAGGGCTTCTTTTGGGGGGATGAGATAGATGATCTATAGGGCATAAATCCAAACTAATTCTCTGACACTGTTATTGTAACCCTTAAACGATGCTTAATCACTCTCTCCTATAGTTACATTATATGACTCATCAACTTAATACCTCTAGAGTACTAATTTTTTATATCTCCCTTATTTTTATATATAGGTACTAAGATATTGTTAATCCATTCATCAAGTATTTTGATAGTCATTAGAATCTCAAAGAATTTTGTTAACTAAGAGACCCCCTCCATACTAAGCATTTACAAGGCCCAATAGAGGTACAATTTAGTCCTAATGTTACCTGACTTTATCTTCTTCAGTGCAAATTCCAACTCAAACTCACTTAGTCAACAGTAAAACCTATATTCTCTAATTCCATCAAGATTGTCATATTTGTCTCCTTTTCCAGTTTTCTAAATATTTTTCATTTTAATAGTTTCTCAAAACAACTTTTTCCACATTTCCTTAATCTCCTTGTCGTTTACCAACACCCTTAAATTCTCACTTTTTATACACTTGACATAATTAAAATCTCGTGTTATTCTTTCTCGTAATTTAGCAAGTTTGTAAATATATTTTTTTTCCAGCTTTACTATATAATAATATAGTATAAAGATCGTCATAAGCTTTAAGCATAGCATCTAAAACCTCCTTATTAAAAATTTCTCATTTTATCCTTTTGTCACTTTTTAAAACATCTTTTTTTCTTTATACTATGGTAAAAAATACAGGAAAGGGGTTTTTTAGGCGTGTGTTCTTTTTTGTTAAGTGAAGATGTTGGTGGTCAGAAGGAGACTAGGTTGGGCTACTAGAATTTTTTGATTTGTGGGTCTAGATGGAAATTTTTGTTTTTTTTTTTTTTTTTTTGGTCGGACTGGTCTGGTTCAAGTGTAGCTGGTCAGTTCACGTGGTGGGGTAAGAGGTTTAGGGCTAAAGGTGTTGCATTATACTAGGTGGATTTATGGAATTTGGGCTGTAGGTGGGTTTTATGGTTGGGCCGAAGCTGGATGGGTTCAAATGACTTGGGTTATGTTATGAGTTTAAAGTTCGGTCAGATCAAGGCTAGTTAATCAGGTCTATGGTTAAATACAACCCAGTTAAGAAATCGTCTTCTTACAGATGATGTTCACAGACCAATGATGATGGACCAGAAACTCCAACAAAGACGCAACAAAGATAAACAACAAAACAACCAAACCAAACCAAGCCTTAAAGTCCTATCAAATAGGGTCGGCTACATGAATCCTTCTTCTCCATTCAACTCTATCCAAGGCCATATCGTTAGTCAAATTAAGGAGATGCATATCTCTATTTACTACACCAGTCCACGTCAATTTAGGTTTGCCCCTTCCCCTAACACTTCCATCTACCGTCACTGTATCGCATTTCTTCACTACTGCCTCTGTTGGTCTCCATTATATATGACCAAACCATCTCAATCTATTATCTCTCAGCTTATCTTCTATCGGTACTACACCTACCAATTCTCGAATATACGCATTCCTAACTCTGTCTTTTCTAGTCTTGTCACACATTCACCTTAGCATCTTCATCTCAGCAACACTCATCTTATGTACATGTTGTTTCTTAGTTGCCCAACATTCCATCTCATACAACATCGCTAATCTAATAGCCGTCCTATAGAACTTTCCTTTTAGTGTAGTGGGTACTTGTTTATCGCACAGTACTCCAGACGCACTCCTCCACTTAAGCCATCCTGCCTTAATTCTATGGACCACATCCGCTCCAATTTCCCCAACCGTTGTGATAATTGATCCTAAATAACGAAAATGTTCACTCTTAAATAGTGCTTGGTCCTCAATCTTCATTTCTCCTCTACTTCCATTGTTACTGTTACTAAAATTGCACTCCATAAACTTTGTCTTAGTTCTGCTTATCCTAAATCCTTTAAATTCAAGTGCTTCTCTCCAAGTCTCCAACTTAGTGTTAACTCCTTCTCTAGTCTCATCCACTAACACAATATCATCTGCAAAAAGCATATATCATGGCACATCATCATGAATATTTCTCGTCAACTCATCCACAACGAAAGCAAAAAGATACAGACTTAAGGTTGATCCTTGGTGTAACCCTACAATAATTGAAAATTCGCTTGTCTCTCCAATTGGCAATCTAATAGTGGTCACCAAACCTTCATATATATCCATAATCACATCAATATAACCTTTTGTCACCCCTTTCTTCTCTAACACCCACCAGATTATATCTCGAGGCACTCTATCATATGCTTTTTTAAGATCGATAAAAACCATATGAATATCTCTTTTCTTTTCTCTATACTTTTCTATTACTCTCCCCAAAAGATAGATCGCTTCCATTGTTGACCTACAAAGCGTAAACTCAAATTGATTCTCTGACACATCTGTTATATCTCGCAATTGACGTTTCATCACTCTCTTCCACACTTTCATTATATGGCACATTAGTTTGATTCCCCTATAGTTATTGCAGTTCTGGACATCTCCTTTATTCTTATAGATTGGCACTAAGATACTCTTTTTCCACTCCTCTGGTATTTTTTTAGTCTACAAAATCTTGCTAAATAACATAGTCAACCAAGCCACCCCCTTCTTACCCAAGCATTTTCAAACTTCAATAGGGATATCATCGTGTCCTAAAGTCTTATTCGATTTCATCTTCTTAAGTGCAATCCCCACTTCAAAGTTCTTAATCCTACAATAGAACATGTAGTCTTGATTTTCCTTATTACTACCTACTTCCTCCCCTTTTGACCTAACTCCATGTTCCTCATTTAACAACTTCTCAAAATAGTTCTTTCATCTCTCCTTATCCTTCACCAACAAACTTGGATCTTACAATTTTATATGACGTTTGAAAAAGAAAACGCTCACTTTTACCAATAAACAAACTTTTTTAGCTTCTCAGAAGAATGGGAGATAAAAATTTTAAGTGCATTTCTCATAAATCCCATTTAATTTGAAGTACATTTCTAAATTATTTACAACATGTTATCTAAGAATATTATACAACATGCGATATATTTAAGTGTTTAAGACGTGTCCCCATACCCATACTTGACTTTGGAAGCATATCCCAGTATCCTAAAATTTACGTTTAGGAAGATCTGACACTTGAACACACCCCCACAACCGATATTCATACCCAAGTCCATGTAACATAGACGACTAATCTAAGGTCAATAATGCAACACAACAGCTGACTAGCTACAAAGCAATTCACAACACCAAAGGAGATCAATGAGAATATCAGCTATAACTCAGGGATGGTGACAGACAAATGAACTGGGTAATATCTTCAACAATGGGTTGTTGGCAATTATTGAAGGGTATGATGGTAGGTGATGTATAGGCAAGTAGCAACTTCAATGCAGCAAGGCTAGAATCTTTGTGAGGCTCCTTAGGTGCATGAACACTTCAGCGAAGGATGCATGTTGTATCTGACACTAACACTCTTTGGACACTCCTAAAAATGTGTCCAACACTTCTTCAACGTGTCTTACTTTTAAAAATCAAATTCATAATATTAGACACTTCATGACCCCTTTCTGGCCAAAACACATTCTATGTGATGAATCCCTTCATAGAATAATGTTAAGCATTTTTCCAAACACAACTTATGCACTCCAAATATGCTTTTAAACATTTTATAAGATGAACACATCATATTTATTACAACATTTTATAATTGTTTTGCATTATTTATGATGTAAATTTTATGTGAATGATATATTGATGTTTAAGTTATGAAAGATATGATTTTTTTAATGTAATTAGTGTTATGTTTCATTTTTTTCATCATCTTTGAATGAATTACTCATATATATCACATATAATAAATTTGTAAACCAAACCAAACCAAACCAAGCTAAGCCTTAAGTCTCATCAAATGGGGTTGGCTACATGAATCCTTCTTCTCCACTCGACTCTATCAACGGCCATTTCGTTAGTCAAATTAAGAAAATTCATATATCTATTTACTACACTAGCCCACGTCAATCTAGATCTACCCCTTCCTCTAACACTTCCATCTACCATCACTGTATCACATCTCTTCACTACTACTTTTGTTGGTCTCCATTGTATATGACCAAACCATCTTAATCTATTCTCTCTCAACTTATCTACAATCGATACTACTCCTACCCATTCACAAATATACTCATTCCTAACTCTGTCTTTTCTAGTCTTGCCACACATCCACCTTAACATTCTAATCTTAGCAACACTCATCTTATCTACATGTTGTTTCTTAGTTGCCTAACATTCCGTCTCATACAACATCGCTAGTCTAATAACCGTTCTATAAAACTTTCTTTTTAGTCTAGTGGATACTTGTTTATCGCACAGTACCCCAAACACACTCCTCCACTTAAGCCACCCCACCTTAATTCTATAGACCATATCCGCTCCAATCTCCCCAGCTGTTATGATAATTGATCCTAAAAAATGAAAATATTCACTCTTAGGCAAAAATATAATAAATTTGTAAAAATATAAAATTTTAACGTGTCTCAAGTATGTCATATCCTACATTTTAAAAAAAAAATTGATGTGTCAACATGTCCATGTCTATGCTACTTAGTGAGGCTCTAATACCAAATTGATGTAAAACGACAAGGGAGAATAAGATAGAGAATGGGAGAGAAAAACACACAAGGGCGACCAACCACATCGCACAAAGGTCACAGCCTTAAACAACTCAAAACCACCCTAATACAATGCCAAAGCCTTTATCAATCAGCTAACTACCCTAGTAAAATAAGAAACTAGAAACCCAAATAAAATAGGAAGAAGAAGAAACTAAATATTAAATAATAAAGAATATTAATTAATAAAATTGTAAATTAAGCCTCCAAGTGGTGAAAATTTGCTGCATGAGAGCTGAATATTGGACATCTACGTTCTGTATCAATATGTCACCTCAGTGATAACTCCATAAAATGACTGGAACATTTAAAACCAACAGCATGAATCCAATGTATTCCATATTTAAAAAGAGAGGAAAAGAAAATTGAAAGATCTAAATGGACAAAATGAATAGCAGCAGTTAGTCATCACTTAATCCAAAAATATTTTTGCACTAGGGGAAAAAAGAACAGTTCAGAAGCAAAAGTAATAAGATATGAAAGATAATAACAACAATAGTGGTATTTATGTTCTTGACATTGGTCACAATAAGATTTTTCTTTTTTTTTTCTTTTTTTTTATAGGCAAATAATACTAGATAGTAATGATAATAATATTGTATTTTTTGGACTTCATGTCCTCCTGCCTTGTTCTCTTTTGTACTTCATTTTTATTTTCAAAAAAAAAATCTCTTTGTGGCTCATAAAAAATAAAAATAAAAATATAATAATATTGATTACCCACCTTTGCTCTTTTCCGAAATATATCAGCTACCTCAGGATTTGCGATCATATCTACATACCTAAACAAATAACATAACAAGACACTGTCAAAATCAACGATAAGCCATTTTACATAACCCATATTAGCTTTAAAAACTGAATCTAGAGGCGAAGTATGGAAAATGGTAGGACATATTCATGACTTGGGAGCTATTCACCTATATAAGGTGTTTGACAATTTTATAATGGGAGAAACGCCAGTCAATACAACTTGCTCCATACAATGTTACAAACACATGCAAGCGCTAGGGCTCATAGACACTTCCCAAACAAATAAAGAAAGCTATTCAGAAACAAAATTAAATTTCAGTTGTTGAGAATCTTATATAGTTGTCTCCAAGAATGAACAGTTGAGCTCATGACAAAACATTTAATTTCATCACAAGAGAAGAGCTAGAACTAGCATCATGAATTGCACAAGAAAACCCGACTTACAAAATTGCTAAATGCATGCTCCCTATTCAACTTTGAATTAAGAAAGCATAGGCACCCTGCAGTAGCTTGGAAACCTGACTTCCACTTTATTTTTATTTGCTTGTCCAAAAAAGAAATCAATCATTTTTAATAGTGTTTTGTTAACAAGTGTTCTAAGGGCATTGATTAACAAAGCATAAAATAGTTGTACATTCTATATAACACGCACTTTTATGCAGAGTGTACAATCAATTTTAACTTCTTAACAAGTACCCTAAGGGCACTCATTAATAAAATCCTTTTTTAAGTTCACTAAATACAAGTACAATGGGAGAGTGAGCAAGCTAGTCTCCCCACAAGATGATCAACTAAATGCTAAGAGTAGACTGCTTCACTTTTAGTCACTTTTGCCCTAGAATTTGCATGCCACTGCTCAGAATTCAGTCTGTGAATTCAACTGGTGCTGACTTTAGACATTCAGCATATTTTTCCAATGATCAAGGCATTCAAGCATTGGATCAAATTGTTGGTTTATGGGAAGCAATAGAACCATTACACTATCTATGACTATTAGGGATCTAGGAAGCACGGATACAGATACGAGATACGGCGATACGCCAAAATTTGAAAAAGTAGGATACAGGTACGGTGGAGATACATTCGTAAAAAAATACATATATTTTTTATAATTTTAATAATGTAATATGCATGAAAATAAAACCTAAAGCAAATTAATAAATAAAGAGAAGAATTCCTATTAAATAAAGAAATATTAACATCAAAGTTCGTAAAATTAAAAATGTGGTAGAGAAATACTTACATTAAAATAGTGTAGAAAAAATAAATAAAGTAGCTAATAGATAAGGGGGGGAAAAAAGAAGAAGACGAAGAAGACAAAGAAGAATGAGAGCAGAGAGTATTGACTATTGAAAAAAATTTAAATATAAAATAATAAAAAATTGGAAAAAAAAAATTGTATACTTATTTGCCATATTAAAATATAAAAAATTAGAAGAAAAAATTGGATACTTATTTCGCATATCCCTCACGTATCCTGCCGGATCCCTCAAGTATCCTTCCCGTATCTGAATATGAAGGAAAAAAAAAAGGAGGAAAAAAATTCCCCAAACCCTCCAAAAAAAAAACATAATCACCCTTTTTGGGAAATTACAAAGGGGGCCCCATACTTTTCCCCCAACCTTGTTTTTTTTCCCAAAAACCAAATAATAAATTAAAACCGTGTGCACCAAACATGTTTTTGTAAACATGTTTCTGTTTTTGTTTTTTCCAAAAATAAATATAAACATGTTTAATATTTTCTGATAAACTAAACAGAGGTAAAATTGTAAACGTTACCAAATGGCACCTAGGTTAAAGGTGACTTCTGTTTGTCCAATCCAAAGAAGCAGCAGACTAGTAATTGCAAGTTTCTAGCAGTTATACCAAAAGCAATGGGCATTTCTCAAAAAAAAAAAAAAAGAAGAAAAAATAATAAAAGCCAGCCAATATTAGTGGGCATTTTATATCAGGCATAAATAGTATATATGCATGATTTTTTCTTTTTTCTATTCATAGACAAGCTAAAAAAACCCAAGAAAGGAAAAGAAAAACAGATGCAGTTTGCTGTTTGCATGCTGTTGCCAAAGGGATGAGAAAAAACATAAATCCAAAATATAGAACAAACCATGCAAGTGAAAGATGGAAAACATAGATCAGGACACTGACTACTGAAGAGAGATAGATAGAGAGAGGTACCTTCTTGAGACTAATAAGGCTGAAGAAGATTTTGGAAATTTGGAGTAGCAAATCATGCAGTGAAAGAGGAAAGAGGTAAATGCCGCCCTTCACAAAATAAGTTTCTTTATTCTTTTGTCAACGAGTTTCTATGCTGACAGAAGAAGGTTTTTCCGTACCAGGCTTGTTGCCAGTATTCACAATTTTGACTGGTATTTTTTCGGTAAGAACGAAAACTCTGGACTAGCTGAAATATAGCGATAAGGTATTACAAAATTCTATCCCTTTTTTTTTTTTTTTTTTTTTTTTTTTTTTTTTTTCAGGAATGATACTTACGCCAGCTGCCAGTATGGAACAATATCCGCAACATCAATTATTATTTTTGAACATTCCACAACATCAATTAGAATTGTAGTAGTTTACATTGACAGTGAGCAGTGAGTCTTATTTGCCAAAGCTGGATGGATATACTACACCATCAGAGTCTTGTAAATGATATATCCACTGATAAATCACCTATATTCTTTTTTTTGATATGTCTAATTAAATTACCAATATTATAATTTATCAAAATTTTTTTTTTTTTTAAATTACCAATATGTGTAGTAGTGTCAAATTACGTTTAGGGAATTGTTTTAATAGCATATTTGTACAAGTCTTATCACTAAAATTACTTTATTGAGGGCATGTAGGCATTGTAGGTTCATTGCCGTTTCATAATAAATGAGACTGAATGGATCATTATGATTGAGATATATGAATTATCTTATTCTTGGTAATTATTTATTTATTTATTTTTGATCTTGAGTGTGGGGATAGGGATTTATTTTCTGGATATGCACCTCAAATAGTCCATTTCTTCTTTAATGTATTTATCTAGTAGTTTACTTAACTTGATTTTGCTTACGGCTGTTCAGAGTACTGGTAATCTGATTTGTACGCATCACATGTTAGCCTTCTCATACAATTTTTTCCATCTTAGACTCTTAGGATTTTCTTTATTTAAGACAAATTGCAAATATAACTCTTCTTATTCAAATTGGTATAACGAGGTTCTAGTCTAGTGGGCTGTTTTAAACCTATATAATTATTTGTTGGAGCATCAAGTCTTAACTAGCTCCTCTGGGGAGAGTTGCATCTCTCTTTCCCTCTAGGCCTATTCTTATTTCTGCAAACCAACATTTTCCCTCGCTCCATACCTTTATTTTATTTTATTTTAAAGGCAATGGAAGAAAAATGTTTAGCTCTAGGTACTTGATGATTTTCTTGCTACTGACTGGGTACAACTTGAGATTGGTGTATTGGCAGAGCATCATGCCTCAATATTTTCTTAAATAAACATGAATCCTAACTATGAAGCACAAATACTTCAAAAAAGGTGCTGTACGAGTATTGGGATATGTATCAGGCATCCGATACGGAGGAATATGTTATCGGATACGGCAAATAAGTATCCGATTTTTTTTTTTGATTTTTTTTTTTAAATTTCGGATAAG